CACTAGAATAATTATCAAGAGACTTATGATCAGATGCAATCTTACATTAAGGCATTATGTTTCCTCAATTATGGTTCTTAAAAGATCCGGAAGTTCTAGTACATCACAAGCTAACAGTGTCGTGCAATTGCAAAACAGTAAATGCTATTTGGGGATGTATTAGTAGGAACAGAAATTCAGTTAACAGAAATAAATAGCCTTTGCATTGATGACTCTGTGACAAAGCAGTTTCAGATATTTGGAGTTATATAAAGGAGGGACTAAATTTGCTCTTTTTTGAGGCCACAAAGGGCAGAAGTAGATTATGGGTTGAGCCTGCAGGGAAGGAAGTTAGGAAGTTTTACTTTATTGTCACTGCACCTCGTACAATGAAGTTAAATGCCATCTTCAGTGTACATCATACATAAGAAAACTATTTTAAAAACAATAACAACACACGTCCTTCACTTTCTCACAATTGAATTGAAAACTCCTGATACTGCATTAATATTGCACTATACAGTAGAATTCAACATAGTTACTGCTCTGGGATAGAAACTGTTTTTAAGCCTATTTGTCCTTGTTATTATTGTCCTGTACCATCTGCCAAATGGCAATAGTTCAAAAAAAAAGGGTGCCCAGGATGAAACAGATTCAGGTTGGATACAAGGAAGAATTTCTTGACAGTAACATCTATCAACCAATATAATACAGTAGGTTGCCTCTTGAATTGATAATCACCTTCACTGGAAGCTTTTATACATCTGTTCAAAATGCTTTAGTAGATTTTGCACCAAATAGTATTTGGAACAAATGACCTCCACGATCTCTTCCAATTCTGATGCTTCTGATTTTATTCCCCTTCCATGCCCCATAATTTCCCTTGGTTTAAGCATTCTTCATTAGCACATAACCAAGGTTAAGTGGAGATTCCATATTAAAATCTCTGCTAACTGGAAAAGGAAACCCACCCTGGTTTAAAGGATACTTTTAGCTCGAGAGGAGCCTTGGATCACTGTTAAAACTTTGTGAGATTCTGAAAGAGAGTGGAGAAGACACTTGCCTTAATTTGCTCTGTGTAGTATATAGGCTTTCTAGCAGAGAAAAGTAAGAGTAGATCAGGGGTGCCAAATTTTCAACTCACTGAACCCTTCATGAAATTTCAGATTGTTCATCCTCCCAACATTATATGAAAATAATTTAATAAATACCATTTTAACTAAATGTACTATGAAAACAGTTACTACCGCTGCTAATCATAATGGCTAGTCTCATCGACCTTTGTAGATGGGGGGAAGAAAAGAAATCCAGAAATATGGCATAAATACACACACAAACTACATTATCTAAAGATCTATAGAAAGAGAAAGCCAGAATATTAATAACACGGAATTTTTTTTCCAGTCTTAAACTTAAACTGAATTTCAGGGAGGAACAAAATTAAAACCTTAAAAATGAGATCAAGATTTATTGTACTTGAAGAACTAGTTTATTCCTTATTTTCGCATCTTTGGCTTTTCCTTTGTTTTCTTTATATTAGTTGCTAGTTTTTAATCTCCTTTAAAAAAAAATTAACTACACGCTCACACACACGATATTATTAAAGATAGCAGCGCTAAACTGGGCGGCTGCCGCTTACAGTAATCGAAGCTTTGCCATCTTCGGATCTGAATCCGCAGGAATAAAACTACACTTCCCACAATGCTTCTCTCCACCCTTCGCGTCTGCTTCCTCCCTACATCTTTTGACAAAGCCATTTTTTTTGCCGCACAAAGTGGAGCTATCCAGGCTGAGCGGCTCCCCATTTCTTCAAATAGATGGCGTGACGCATAATTGGTGGTAGGTGAAAGGGTTGCAGAAAAGGAAAGAAAAGCAAGCAAGCCATCACTTTGGGGCTGGAGGAGGGGGAAGCATGGGAACCTGGAAGATGAAAGCAGAAAGCTGGGGAAATGAATCTCTAAAGCTGGGAAGGAACAACAGGTTTACCCCAAACAGCATCCAGAGATCAGTTGCCACCAAAATAAATACACAGAGGTGGCCCCTATAGTCCAGATCTTGGGGGATATTCCTGATTTCTTTTTCCCTTTCCAATTTAGCCTGTCGCTATGCGGCTAGCAGAATAGCATCGCTCCTGCGCCATGGGGATATGGCAGGGAGCGTGTTGGCTTCCAAGAAAACATGACGAACTGGTAAGACAGAGATACCCCACTTTCCAATGGGCACCCTCAGATCGGTTGGCAAAAGTCTCTTTAGGGGAAAAGGGTTGGGAATAGTGGGAATTGCAGAAGAGCTATGGGGAAAAAAAGACTATGCTAGGAGTTGGATGGCCCTGATGTATCTCACTGCCATCTTTTCTTGTAGGCATCCCCAAAAAGCCTGCAGAGTCTCCATCCATTCCTAACTTGGCCAGCGAAAAATATCCTCCCGCGGCTACTTCCAAAGATGGGACTCAGGAACCAAAGTCTGGATGAAATAAAATAAAAAGGGCAGCAAAGCGGATAATGACGGTTTGTTTGACAAAGTCCTGCGCATGCAGGAGGTGAACAGACCTGAGAATCTCTTATTCTGTCCTCCTCTCTTTGTTCCACTATGAAAATAAACTTAAATAAAGAAGTATTTCACGCATTGTAAAAGAAAGAGTGAGTGTTTAACCAAAAGTAATTGGCTGCTGATGAGGGAGGGGGTGATCTTGCAATATAGAATTCACATTGATTCCTTTTTGACAGTAATACGGAGCAATTGAGATTGGGAGGAGCAGAGATTTCATTTGGCAAATTGTAGTAATGGAATGGCATATAGTATTGTACATTTTCTCTCCCTCAGAAGATAAAAAAGTTCTGTCTTGCATAAAAGTATCACAGGTTTAAGGGATCTATTTTGTTATTTAATAGTACTTGAAATTTGTCAGGTTTGATTAAAAATGGGGGACTGACATTACTAGAATTTGTTAAAGTTTTCATATTCAGATTTGTTTTAAGTGCTGCTTTATACTATTACAGTGAATTTTATCTTCATGAAGCATGCTTCTTATTTTTTGTAATCTGCATTATTAAACTGTTATTAGTAGCATATTATTTTTACACAAATATACATGAACATATATTCCTCTATTTAGTGCAACAAGGGTTGTTGCAAACTTTTTATTTTTGTTTTTAAAATATTTTTCATAGCTTTAGTGTTTTAATTATGTTATCTATCAAAAAATCTTCAGTTATTAGGCAGATTCTTCTTTTTCTTTTAGGGTGTTCCTTTTTAAAAGCTTGAGTCAAAAAAAAAAGCTTTTTCTCATTCTTGTGGGATAAAGGGCTTAGTAATATATAGTAATCATTCAACATCCCACCTACTCAGCACCTGACAAAAGGAAGTAAATATATAAATATGGCTGTAACAAACTGAGAAATTATCTTTCCTGTTAGGCAATACATGCTCACCCACTAGACAACATTTTAAAAAAATCATGTAGCTACAATAAAATAGTCTCCAAAGAAAGAAGCTTGTTACATAAATACAGAAAAAATACTGTACACTATTGCAGCCAGGAAAAGGGTAGCAAAACATTCATAAAAAGATGTAAGAAAAATACGAAAGACCTATAGAGACACAGGTGGATTCCTGTATTCTGCAGCTGCTGATTTTCTACATAGATACCATTTCTAATTTGCTCGAAACAATTTTAAAACACAGTTTTATCTAACTGTCCTGAACCCATGAAGGTTTTGCTATTAACCTAACACTGAATGCTAAGACTTGAGTATTAAAAAAAGATCAAGCTTTAACCTTTACAAAGTTTGATAATTTTAGTACTGAGCCAAAAAAATTTTTTTAGACTTTTAAAAGAGTACAATGCTTGGAAGGAATTTGTGATTTGAAGTGATCCGCAAACCAGTCACAACATGTTTTTTTCAGATTTATGAAGAAATATGAAAGAATATCCCTGGATTAATTATTTTAAGGAACAGCAATATGGAATTGGCTGGAATCTTAATTATTTTGCATTTTTGAATGCTTGTGCATGTGATCGCAGATAAATTCATTTTATGCCTTCTGTTATTTTGTGCAATCCAAGGTAGAGTGAGGGGATAAAAAAGATCAAAAAACTAAATTTCTTCCTTAGGGGGGAAAAAAGTCTAGTTGCCTTTTGAAAAAGCACCTTTGAGACAACTATGACTGAGAATATCCACAAACATTTTACCCATTCTTTAATAGATCAACGTGTTAATTACAGTGCCCATACAATTAGATTTTGCAACAGTACAAAAGTAGGGAAGGGGGAACTGGTAGTCTATTTTTATTCTCAGAAAACCTATTCAATGTAAATCAGTGAGGTTTGGTTACAGTACTGAATGGGTTGAAATTAAGAAATAATGCTAATTAATTCAATTTTGTAGATAACAATACTAAAACTACGGATTTGCTCAGAATGACCCACTAGTAGAATGTATACTTTTTGAACGGCACGATTTTTTAAAAGATAGCCTGTAAAACAGCCTACTCAACACCATAAAAATGTTAAATGTCAAAAGAAAAAGAACTACAATTCCCAGAAGCACAGCGAACGAAGCGGCAGACGCATGCGCCGCTTCAGTGGTTTTTTTTAAAAAGCTTGTACGCATGCGCGCGTCACGTTTAAATACTCCAATGCACGTGGTCGGGATGAAACTTACCTGGTTCCCTCCACCCTCACAGAATTCGTTGGCGCACACCGAAGCAATATCCGTCTGTCGTGCTAAAATTCAACGCATGACGAGAAGCGACTAACCACCCGTCTGGCCTAGGCACGCGCACTTCCGTTCAACGTTTGACAACCCCCCCCCCGTATAAACTGCCCTCCTCGAGGCGCTCCTTTGCCGCATGACGAGCCCTACGCATGCGCATTTGCGTTTCCCGATGCGCTTCCGCTATACCCTTCCTTTCCCGTTGGTGGGCACGCCGGTCGGGTCCCGCCTCGTCTCTCTTATGGTTGGGCAGAAGAGGAAAGAAGAGGAATTCCATTGGGCGGCGGTGTTGCTATGGCAATAATCGACTGGGTGGAAGTCGGTGCTGGTAATAGAATATAGGAAAGGCGGAAGGAAGATGGCGGCGCTGGCTTCGGAGTTGCTGCTTTTGAGCGATTCAAGCCGCTTCCGAGCAGACAACCTGCTGAGCAGCGAGGACTGGGGTAAATGGAAGAAGGAGAGGCAGTACTGGGCCAAAGGAGGGGGCAGGGCCTATAGGCCTGGGCTACGCTCGGGTGTTTCATGGCTGAGGTTGCAGAGGGGCCCGCTAATGCATATAAGGACACTCTGTTGAAAACTCTATGGCTTTTAACAGGTGATATCAGGCCGGTGTGCAACGGGGTATATCAACTTTCCGCCGAGGAGAATCTTCACCTGTTGCATTTCTGCCTGTCAGGTTCTGAATTGGAATCTGACAGGCAGAACCATAACGGTCTTGGTCGTTAAAGGTGGTAGCATAAAGGTGGCTGAGTGGCTAAGATGCTGAGCTTGTCGACCAGAAAGGTCGGCAGTTCGGCGGTTCGAATCCCTAGTACGGGTCTCCTGCGTGAGTAGGGGGTTGGACTAGATGACCTCCAAGGGCCCTTTCAACTCTACCGTTACTGAATTGACTGTTTATTTAGCAGGAAGGTTTTTCAAATGCGCTTTGCCATTCATCTTTAAGGGGTTGCAGTAGAGATGGTGGTTCTTTTTTTAAAAAAAATACCAGCCTAGGGTTATCAAAACAGAAGAGATCTGATATGGAAGAAGGAGGAGGCGGTCTTTCTGCATTTTTTTATGATACGCAGTTAATAAAGGGCATTGCATAGATGATAGGGAAAATGTATGCACTGCAAAATAAGTTGAGATTCACCCGATGTTAAAAAATATTATTAACCTGGCACCAAATGCACATTTTATATGACATGATTACTTTATGTGGCAACACAGGGTTCTTTGTAACTGGCTTATATAAGCGGTATTTCCAGTTTTGTTCTGGTTTGGGTGGCAGCTTAACTAAATACCAGGAAATAAAGTTAGAGAAAATGTGTAACTGTAGTATGTACAATTGTTGGTTGTACATATTATAACCACTGTTAGTGGTTAGATGTTTAGACTGGATTTGATGTTTTTTATCCACTATTGGGTCTTTCCCAAGGACATGGAATAAGCAGATGTTGCTGGATTATTATTATTATTTAGAGATAACCCATGGTTGAGTCAGCTAATTCCTCATCCAATTGCACTTTGCTGCTCTCCCTCCAGATGCAGGTCTTTACAGCTGCTTGGATAATGATGGAAATGTGGCAGCTGAACTTTTCCCTTGTCTTGAACACAGCATTATGGACAGTAATGGTACCTGTTCTGCGGTGAGAATACCTTTGCTTTTGGAAAAATATTGTTTTGCTTTCCATATGCCTCCGTGGCAGGACACACTTTTCAGCAATTTGAAGTCATTCTTTCTCTTCCCCTCTATAACTTTATAAAAAAATTGAATTGGGTAGACTTTAGCATCTTGATCACGCCCATCCCTACCACTTGGGCTTTATTGTTTGTTCTAATGTGACTTACACATTAAAATGTGTGAGTTAAAATGAAGTCTGGCAGAGGTGTGGTGGTAATTATATAATGGCTCACATGACATGTGTACAGGTTTGGATTGCATTTCCAAGAATATTATCTCTAGTCCTGAAAGTTTGATTGAATTGGAACTCCCAACTAAAGGAGTCCTCAATGTACGACCATAATTGAGCCCAAAATTTATGTTGCGAAGGGAGACATTTGTTAAGTAAATGTTGCCCCATTTGTTGCTGCAGTTGTTAAGTGAATCATTGCAATTGTTAAGTTAGTAACACGGTTGTTAAGTAAATCTGGTTTTCCCATTGACTTTTCTTGTCAGAAGGTCATAAAAGGTGATCACATGATCCCGGGACACTGCAATCGTCATAAATATGAGCCAGTTGCCAACTGTCTGAATTTTGATTATGTGACCATGGGGATGTTGCAATGGCCATAAGCTTGAAAAACAGTCATGTTACTTTTTCCAATGATGTAACTGAACAGTCACTAAATGAACTATTGTAAGTCGAGGACTACCTGTATACCTCCTCAGTTACACATCCACTCACTGCCATCACACCCTGCTCCTTAGACCCAAGGAGTCAGACTTATCGTTTCCCATAGATGAAAAGCTTTATTTTCTATATCTTCCTTTCTATGCCAGCAGTTCGGTGATGGGTTTGATCTGGATATGGAAACTATGCCTCCAGACCCACCTTGGGATCCTTTGCAAGAATCTCTATTCCCAGGTGAGTATTTTCATGAAGATGTGGGGTAGGCAGGTTATCGAGAACCTGTTGTAGAACTGAGGATACTGTGATGCATCTGGTGAATCTGATTGAGTGACTTGTGATTCAGAAACATTTTTATAAGGCCATTGATTTTTAAGCTGTTGGAAGATTGTGTTTTCTGGCAAAAAAAAATTTAGACGGTATCATTCTGGAAATGACAAGAGGAGGATGATATTCATAAGGAAGAGGTTTATGTTAGACTATCCTACCATCTCAGCTTAATACAAATGTATGTATCATGTACCTGCCTACTCACTGCTGTTTGGCAAATAAGACCAGAGACAAGTAGTTTGCATGTTAGAAAGCCTAGATTTTATCTCTACTGTTGTACCTCCTGTTTAAAAATATACCTTTAGGAAGTCTTTGGTGAGTCATTGACAGCAGGAGTAGACAGTGATGGACAAGGTATCTATATTTAGTAGCAAAATTCTTTTGAGTGGGAGAAAAATGAAATTTGTGTACGTGTCCTGCTGCCTTCCCAGAAGCATCTAGCTGATCGTTGCCCACATGAACCTTTGATCTGATCCAGCAGATAGCTTTTATTTCTGCTTCCTAGAATTGTTTTGGGCTGTGCAGAAATTTGTCTGGGAGTGGTTTTGTACAGTAACAGTTTAATGAGCAAACTTTGTGTCTGTCCTGCATGAAAAAAAAAACTGGAGCAAACTTTTCTAACCGATTGACAATTAAATTCCTTCTTGAAGGCAGAGCAGAAGAGATAAGAGGATCACTTGTTTGCTTTTTCCTCTTTCCTGTCCTCTCCCTGCCTCCCCATTTCTGACTTCCTTTTTGATTGAGGCTGAAAGTTGCACTCAACTTGTGACTTGACAGTTTATCCTGTGGTCTGGCTGCGATTTATTGCTTAAAAACTAGATGCGCTGCAGAACCAGTTAAAAGTCCACGAACTGCAAGTCACTTTCCTCTTAATTAGAGTTCTGTACCAATCTAAATTTAATTATTAGTGCAAATCTACAGAGGGATATTCCTAACTGTTCTTTAAGTGGCATAGTTAAGCTGCAAAATCAGATATTTAGGAGTGATAGGAACTACTTCTGGAAAAGGATTAGTAGGACAAGGTCTATTGAAGACAGTACTTGTGGTAGATAACAGCATGTAGCTGTAGTATTAGCAACTGCTGAGTGGTCAATTTCTTAACACAAGGTTACTTGTTGGTTTCTTCCATACCTTGATTTTTGAATCAAGACAGAAGAAATGTTAATCTATGGATAATCAGATTCTTTTATCATTCATAGAGGGGGGAAATGGCCATGGCATTGGAGAGAAAGCAGTTTTTGGACCTGATAAGTCTTCAGGTGCAAGTGGAACAAAGCAGGGAGTCTGACAATTTCTCTTATTTGGGTTTGCTGTTGTAGAGTTTTACTTCTCCTTTAGGTGTTATAAGCAGGAAGTATAGCTACCTCATGATGCCTTCAGAGTGTTATAGAGCCTTTCAGGTGACAAGAATTAGAGATCTGCTTCCTCTGCTGGCCCAGATGGAAGGAACTGGTGGCATGGCAGTTGAAGATGAATGATGAATGTATGTTGCTTATTACTTTTATTATATGTGTTTATGCCATTGTTTGTATTTCCCCCTCCCTGATTTTATGTGA